GGTGCTCTTTTGAGCAAAGCCGATTTTAGATTAGTCTTTGAGGCCGATAAAATTGTAATGACTAAGAATGGTATCTTCTTAGCGAAAGGGTACCTAGATGAGGGTCTTTTTTAAGATGAATGTAATGAATGTTATCCGCCAAGAGGCGAAGAATAAAGAAAGTATTTCTTATTTGTTGGAGTGTTCTAATTTATGGCATGATAGATTAGGACATGTGAACTTTAACACAATTAAAAGGTTGGTGAATTTGGAATTGATACAAAAAGTTAAAATTGATTCACACAACAAATGTGAAACATGTGTTGAAGAAAAAATGGCTAAAGCACTGTTTAAACTGGTGAAGAGAAGCACTAGTCCACTCGAGTTAATTCACACTGACATATGTGATTTAAAATTTGTGCAAACTCGAGCGGGGATGAAGTATTTCATTACATTTATAGATGATTGTACAAGGAATTGTTACGTTTATCTACTAAAGAGTAGAGACGAGGCATTAGAGGCCTTTAAGACGTATAAAAATGAAGTTGAGAATCAACTTAGTCGAAAGATCAAAGCGATTCGAAGTGATAGAGGAGGCGAGTATGTAGCCCCGTTTGAAGTGATTTGCAAAGAGTCCGGTATTATTCATAAAACGACGGCTCCGTATTCACCGCAATCTAATGGAGTGGCCGAGAGAAAGAATTGGACACTAAAAGAGATGATGAATGCGCTTTTGATAAGTTCGGGCTTACCCCAAAACTTGTGGGGGGAAGCGGTTCTTTCGGCAAATTATATTTTGAATAAATTACCCCACAAAGTTAACGACAAAACGCCATATGAGTTATGGAAATGTCATAGACCTACCTACAAATACTTCAAAGTGTGGGGGTGTTTGGCAAAGGTTGAAATACCTAAACCGAAACAAGTGAAAATTGGACCAAAGACTATTGATTGTATATTTATTGGTTATGCAAACAATAGTAGTGCTTATCGATTTTTGGTGCACAAATCAGAAATTTTGAAGATTCATAATGGAACAATTATTGAGTCTCGAAATGCGGTGTTCTTTGAGAATATTTTTCCTCGTAAAGACAAGGAAGAAATAATTCTGAGAAAAAGGACATTTGAAGAGGCCAAGATACCTCAAAAAATTGAGGATGAGCCAAGGTGTAGTAAGAGAACAAAAGTACCTAAGTCTTTTGGTCCTGAATTTCTAACTTATGTATTAGAAAACG